TATATAGAACCATGTACACTCAAAGAACCCTTAACATGATTTAAGGGTTCTTTGCATCATTAAGGGGGTTTTTAGATTGATGGAAAATGTGCCTGAATGTGCTATAGACAAGCTTGACACTGCAACAATACAAGAACCCTTTTAGGTGCTACATAGAACCATTTTCAAAAAAAGGTTCTATATATCTACAGAATATTCTCCATCAGTCTGAAGAACCCTTTCACAATGCAAAGAACCATTTAATTATACAAAGCATTGTTTGAGTGCACATGGTTCTATATGGAACCATTTTCTTCACTAAAGAACCCTTGAAGAACCATCTTTTTAAGAGTGTGACTTTATCTATTGCATATTTTAAGATATAAGGTCAATAATTTCACGGGTTTCAAGAATTTCACTACATAAAATGATTTTAATGTCAAGGCAAAAGTGAAATAATCATGGTAACACTTTACCGTAGGGCGCTGTTCATTAGGCTACGTGACACCTACATGAGGTTGTCATGACAACTGACATATCCCTACATAACTGTTCATAAATGCTTATTACAACAGGCATCATCTGTCATAAAGGCTACTTTAGCTGACTTTGATCAAAATTGGCCAATTTAACCTTTACAGCAAATGACGCGTTTTGGAATAACCGTTTATAAAAACTTATGTAGGGCTATGTAAGTTATCATGACAAGCTTATGTAGGTGTCATGTAGCCTTATGAACAGCACCCTAGAGTAAAGTGGTACCATAATATTCTAGTAGGCTTAAATAGTCTCAGAATGAGAAATACTAGATATATTGACTAGATTAAAGATGATTTCACTCACTCATATATCATTATAACAGTATTTTCAGCATAATTGAATGTAAGTCAAACACAAACTAAGCATCTACAGCAGAGCAGCAAAATTAAATGTCACCATCATTTTTATCAGCAGTATAAAGCAACACTACAGCTGGTTCTTTAAACAAAGCATGAAAAGTCTTTTTAAAGAATATAAAGGTTATATATATATATATATAGGCTCTATACCAGGTAAGGGAAGGTCCTAGTACCATAGGTCCAGGCCAAGAACCATTTAGGAGCCTTTACTTTTGACAGTGCAGTCTAACTGCTTGCTGTTCCATGATGCTCAGCAAAGCTCGGTGTTTGCTAAAGCAGATGGGGTGAGTCAGTGTTATTAATCTGGAGGAGAGAGAGGCCTTTGACAGTCATTAGGAAAACACCTCATCTGTGAAGGAATGAATCATCCCATCAGAAACGTTCACCTAGAAATTTCACAATTTAGGGCTACCAACCATCTATGACCATCTAAGCTCCTCCCACAGATGTGTTCTTTCATAGCTAACAAAAAAAAAATAATAAAAAATAGAGTCGGTTATTCATTCGGCCTAATGAGAAACTGAGACAGACTCAGTTTATATCACAATACCTACATTTAGAGTCGGTTATTCATTCAGCCTAATGAGAAACTGTAGAACAGACTCAGTTTATATCACAATACCTGCATTTAGAGTCGGTTATTCATTCAACCTAATGAGGAACTGTAGAACAGACTCAGTTTATATCACAATACCTGCATTTAGAGTCAGTTATTCATTCGGCCTAATGAGAAACTGAGACAGACTCAGTTTATATCACAATACCTACATTTAGAGTCGGTTATTCATTCGGCCTAATGAGGAACTGTAGAACAGACTCAGTTTATATCACAATACCTACATTTAGAGTCAGTTATTCATTCAACCTAATGAGGAACTGTAGAACAGACTCAGTTTATATCACAATGCCTACATTTAGAGTCGGTTATTCATTCAACCTAATGAGAAACTGTACAGCAGAACTCACAACTGTAGCTAGGATGAATATATTTGTGGGCGGAGCCTGGATGCCGTAATGAGCCAATTATCCAAGACCCTCTGGAACTGAAAAATCAATCCGTGGGATTTTTTTAGTGGTTTTAAATCACATTAACAGCTACACTTTTACTCTTACACATTAGGGATCCTGAGTGGTTCTTAGCTCAAATAAACGGTTCTAGGAAAGGTGTTTTAGTAACATTATGTTCTGTTTATTTTCCTCAGAAGACTGATTCGAGTGCAGTGGCAGTAAACAAACAAATAAATAAATAAATAGATACATTATGCTGTTAAATGAAGCTGGCAAGCCATAGCAAGTTCCACAAAGGGTTTTTTGAATAGCACCACAGAAGAATTACTTTGAGGCTTCTTGTTTGTGAGTGTGAGGAACCTTTTGAAGGTTATTTTTATTATGTTATTACTGATTTTAGGGTTCTTCCTAGAGCCTTTACATTATGTGGAGGTTCCTGAGACTTCAAAGGGGTTCTTCATGCTCACACAACTATTTACAGAAATAGTTCTTCCTAGAACCACCCATTAGAAGGTTTTTTTGAGGAACCAAAACTGGCCCAAAGAACCCTTTTTGGCAACTTTGTTTTTAAGAGTGTAGTGGGAGTTAAGCCCCTAGCCCTCATAAATAAATAAATAAATAATAAATAAAGTCTTAGATAGCTGTTAAATGAGGCTGGCAAGCCTTGGCAAGTTCCACAAAGAGTATTTTTTGAGCGACGCCACAGAAGACTCGCTTCTGAAAACGAGATCTGTGGGCGTGAAGAACCTTTTGAAGGAACCTTCATATCAGGCACTTATTCTGTACCAGCTTATAGGTTCTTCATAGGGTGTTTACAGTTTGTAGAACTTTGAAAGGGTTCTTTACACTCACCCGTCTCGTTCTCAGAAACTGTTATGTAAAGAACAATCCATTGAAAGGTTCTTGAGGTTCTGTTTAATATTCACTGGCCCAAAGAACCCTTCTCTGGCAGTGGGAGTGAAGTCCCAACCCTCATAAATAAATAAATAAATACACATAAATAAACTCTTGGATTGTGTTAAAGCCGACTTCAGACACAACACTGCAAAAAGTGGCCTCGTGTCGAGTGAAATGATCTTAAATCCAGTCGATATTTTTAATATTTCCCATTTTGAGATGGTTGTGCTCTTATTAGATTATCTAGCTTGTTTCTAGACATAAAGCACATTTCTTAACACAAGCAACATTAACCGCCAACACACTGAGATAATTTTACTAAAGAATATTACTGAAAACAAGTAAAAATATCTAGTAATAAGACAAAGCATCTTAAATTAGGCTTACAACAATCTAAACAGGAGAAATATTAGATTTATTGACTATAATTAAGAGAATTTCACTTGACAAGACACCACTTTTTGCAGGGTAAACACCCACAGATTGTCAAAGCATTTGAAAGAACATTACTGCTTCGTCACGGAAGAGACGGCGACGAGACGATCAGGATGGAACCCAGATCACAGACGAAAGCGCGACTTCTTTTTTTCTCAAAAATCGCTGCCACTTTGCCACGAGATAAGCTGACGCTGTCACCTTTTCAGCCTTTTCAGAAGCGAGGCCTGCAGACTGTTAATTAGCGGGAAGAATGATGCTTTGCATGCTGAAAGCGTCAAGGCTTTTCTCTTCTTCACCTGTCAGGTGCGCACATGTTTGTGTGCGCACAAGAAGAGTCTTAAAAGATTCAAATCCGCCTACGACAACAAGTTTGCGCTCAGAAATGATCAGATAGAAAAGAAGGAGCAATAAGAAGAAGAAGAAGAAGAAGGAGAAGAAGAGAAGTTCCTCAAAAAGAGCGAGCAGGCAAAAATAACGAATGAGTTTATTTACTGGGAATGATTGAGCCTCTTCCTCTATCGACCCGCAGTAATGCGGGACGGGGAAAAAAGCGCGCAGGCCGGGGCGTCGCGCCCTTCATTTTTCCTCCCCGCGCAACTCCAAGGTGGTAATGTGACACCAAAGGTAACAGAAGCTACTGACTAGAAAGATGTTAATCCTGACAAAGTGCCACAGCGCAGGCCCCAGTCTGTGTTAGATTGAATTCTGCGTCCCCGGGGGAACGTGGGCTACGCCGGCTCTGGCTCTCCATCTTACTGAATGGCCCTTTCAGGCTGGGCTGAGGCTAAAAAGAACAACAGCACCCTCTATTGAGCGCCTGGAGAACAGCATTTCAATTTGTATTCACTTTTAATCTCTGCTTCTTCTCCACTCTTTTTCTTTCTCCTGGCTCTTTATTATGTAGTTACTACCTAGTTTATCAATGTAGCACCTTCATAAAATGCGTCATTAGTAGAAGCATCATAATGATCATACGCACTTTTGTATTGCCTATAATCAGACGACACTTTTTGTGTTGCTATGCTTCAAAAAGTTTCCTGCTAGGGCTCTGAAATCTGCATTTAAAGCACTTTTTCATTAAGCCCAACTCAAAGCGTATGAGGCCATATCAGCTCTGAAAATGATCCCCTTTTTGCACATTTTAACGATCAAACAAGTGTTGATCAATGCATTTTTTGCTGCATTCAGCACAGTCGGACTCTCAGGGCTCATCTGCTCTTCGTGAAACTCCACCAGGACACTCGCTCTTCGCTCCGTATCTGCTTATGTGTGTGCGCGGATGCAGTCGTCCTGCATTATCGCTTTTGGCCGAAGCCCACCGGCTGCCGTTACGCACGGCTTTGCCCATAATGCTGCCTAGAATTAAGCTAGAATAAACACAGCTTTTAAAAATGGCTATATTTAGCACACTGCCAGCCAAACTCCTAGTTTAAATCACAGAATTGTGCATTTTGGCACACAGTGGTGCCACTTTGATGCCCTATTTAGTGCCACTTTGCAAAGAAGTTACACATCAGGTACCCTCACTTAGCACTACATTAGGAAGTATAGAAGTGGTATATTTGAATGTACTTCTTTCTCAATCCAAAGCATTGCATCACTGCCAGAGTGACGGCTTTGATGAAGAAGAAAAAGGCTCTTTTACATTTATGGGTTTACTATAGGAACCCATTGACTTTGCCACTGACTGAGTGTGTGTGCGGATTACGCCGTGTGTGTGCACGTCTGCTGATCCCTTTTGCTTCTCGCACGCACTCACACTCTCTTTCTTTTCCTTACCTTTTTTCACGCTCAGTCACTCCCGGAGCCCTCGACGTCCCATTAACGTCTCACATACAAACCGCCACCACCACCGCTGCTGCTGCTGCTGCTGCTGCTTCTCTTTAACATTCAACCAACATCCCAGAGGAACCGGCTCCGTCTGCTTTCTTTTTCTTCTGTTTTTTTGAAATATCAATCACTCCAGGCGCTCTCCTCAGACCATCGTGAGCCTCTCCTGTCCGAGTCCACTTAGAATTTTCCTTTATTTTGTCCAGAAAGGTTGTTTTTTGGGGGCACTGTCAGAAGTAGAGAGAGTAAAATTGTAGAGTGTAGTAATGGAGCTGAAGCATTATCCACACTGGAGGAAAAACGGATGGATCCAGAAATGATGGAGGGAAAAAAAGAAGAAGAAGAAGAAGAAGGGTCCTCTCTCCTCCTCTTCCTCAGCGCTTTTCAGCCCAACGCGAGCAGGACACAACACACCACACACACACACACACACTGCTCCCACTGCTGCCACTGCTGCTGCTGCCGCTGCCGGGGGGCTGAGCGAAACCCCCTCCCTCCCTCCCTCCCTCCCTCTCGCTCGCTCGCTCTCTCTCTCTCTTTTTCTCTCCTCCCTCCTCCCCTCGCTCTCTCTCTCGTCCCTCCTTCCTCTCTCTCCCTCGCTCTTTCCACATGGAAACACACACTCATCTGTCGTTCGGTCCCGGCTAAAGCACGAGTTAAACCAGCCTCCCTGCCTTTCTCTTCCAATCACACCAGGTGGATGGAGCCTAAACTACACCCCGACCCACTCAGAACACGAAGACCCCCCCAACACTGAGGGAGCCTCAGCGTCCCTTCATTTAAAAAGAAAAAAGAGGAGGATCTCTGTCGTCTCCGAATACAGCCAGTGATGAGGCTGGTGTTAAAGTATGATTTTAAAATGCATTATTTGTTCATTAACACTGCCTCTCTCTCTCTCTCTCTCTCTCTCTCTCTCTCTCTCTCTCTCTCTCTCTCTCTCTCTCTCTCTCGTCTCTCTATCTCTCTTTCTCTCTCTCTCTTCTCTCTCTCTCCATCTCTCTCTATCACTCATTCTATTTTCACTCCTCCTTTTCTCGCTCCTGTTGTTTCTCCTCTCTCTGTCTCTATTCTCTCTCTTTCTCTCTCATTCTCCCTCTCTCTCTCTCTCTCTCTTTCTATCTCTCAATCACTCATTCTATTTTCACTCCTCCTTTTCTCGCTCCTGTTGTTCCCCCCTCTCTCTCATCTCTCTCTCCCCCTCTATTTATCTATCTCTCCACCTCTATCACTATTGCTCGTTCTATTTTCTTTTTCTTCTCTCGCTCCTGTTGTTTCTCCTCTCTCTCTCTTTCTGTCTTTCTCTCTCTCCCCTCACTCCCATTTTGTTTACTCTCTCGTCTCTTCCCCCTTATTTCCCCCTTCTTTCCATTCTTTTGTGTCTCTCTTTTAGTCTGTTTTTCTCTATTCTCTCCATTCTTCGCCATCCCTCTCTCTCTCTTTCTCTCTCATTCCGTTTACTCTCTATTGTTCCCATTTTCACTCTCCCTCTCTCTCTCTCCTCGCTCCCATTATGTTTACTCTCTCCCTCTACCCCTTTTCCCTTCTTTTTCCTCTCTTTTTTAGTCTCATTCTTCCCCATTCTCTCCATTCTTTCCTTTCTATCTCTCTCTCTGTTTCTTCCCTTCTCTTGCTCTCTCTCTCTTCCACTCTATCACTCATTCTATTTTCACTCTTTCTTCTCTCGCTCCTGTTGTTTCTCCTCTCTCTCTTTTAGTCTCTGTCTTTTCCCCATTTGCTCCATTCTTTCCTCTCCCTCTCTCTCTCTCTCTCTCTCTCTCCCTCTCTCTCTCTCTCTCTCGTCTTTCCCTCTTTCCTACCTTCTCTTTCTCTCTCTGATTCTGTTAACTGTATCTCTCTCTCTCTCTTCTTTTTGTTATTTCCTCTCTCCTTTTCTGTTCACTTTATTTTTTCTACTCTCTCTCTCTCTCTCTCTCTCTCTCTCTCTCTCTCTCTCTCTCTCTCGTATCTGTTTGTTCTTGTGTTCTTGTAGAGTGGTTGTGTGTTGTTTACAGTGCTGCAGTGCTGAGTGCAGCTCCCAGTGTGTCTGCAGTGCTAACAGAGGGAAAAGAAGCCCAAACAGGAGCTGAATATTCTTCATTACCACAGTTTATCCTGTAACTGCAGAGACACATTCATAACGTAGTACAAGGTCTTTGACTGGATGCGTGTGGATCAGTGTCTGATCTGTTCAGAATATTTTCACATTTACTGTCAATCAGATCTGAAGACAGTTAAGAAGCATAAGAGAGATTAAAAAGTTTATCTGAAGCTAGTTTTAGCTAGTTTAGCACATCTGACTAATAAGCATGTTTTAACTCTAATGAACATGTTGTCGCTTTCCAAAGAAAAACATGCATCTCCATTTTTGTCTTTTTTATTTTTCTACATCATTTCAACACACCAACTCTCCTTTATGGTGTGTGAAATTTTCATGATGAATGGACCAATAGAAATGCTCCAAAATCACTTCAAATAAAACCTCTTTACATTAACTTACATTAAAAGTTGAGAGTGTTTTTGCCCTCTCCTGTAAAGTTACTATTTTGGAGATACTTGTTTTTCTCTGGACAGCAATGATATATAATACATATGAAGTCGCTTCTCATTCAAGAGCTTTGTCTTTGAATTTTCCCGTTCCACCTTAAATGGTGCTCGAGGCACCAGAATGCAACTGCTGCACCATTTAAGGTGGAACGGGACAATTCGAAGGAGAAGCTTGTGAATGAGAAACTGACTACAGCTTCACGACTTTATAATGTTTGTCAGTTTCTTGTTGCAGATTAAACGTATCAGGAAACCAGCAGGAGTGATTATAAATGCAAATAAGTCCATTAATCTCCAAATTATCAATGTTCGCCTAGCTACTAGCTAGGCAAGATTGTTATTGTTGCTATGGTGACCAGCCGTCTGTGCGTTAAAGAGTTTTGGGGTGAATTAGCTCTAAGATCATTTATTGTTAAACTGTGTTGAACGATCAGCAGAGCTTTATTTTACTGTAAAGGAGGATTATTTTATTTTTGCCTACAAATCTAATTCAGCTGTGGAGCCGAAACAGGACAGTAAAAGAGCCACATGCAGCCCCGGAGCTGCATGTTACTGACCCCTGACCTGCACAATCCCTATCACACACTACTCAACTTTTAAGGTGTTGATAATCTGAACAGAACTCACTGAACTCTTGCGTTCTCCCATTATTAGGAGACGCAAATAAACAAACATGTAGCTGCTGCTGTTTTCTCTGCCGTTTGTGCTGATACAGTAAAGAAGCAGCAGGTAAACATGTTTAAGAGGATCATGGATTTAAAAATGTGATCAGTTTGGTATTTTTAGAGTTTTAAATGTACATAAACTCGATTGCGATTTAAACTCAACTCATTAAAAAGCTTCGCTCCACACATGAGAGACTTTTCGCCATTTGTCTTTGTTTACTTGCGTATTTTCTGCTCTCAGTCAGGAATCCATTCAGATTGAGTCGTTGACCAGTTTACACTAGATTACACTCAGAGTCGGGTCGAAAAAATCAAACGTTTGATAAACTCTGTGAAATGTGATAGAGAGGCCAAAAATCGGAGCCTGCGCCCCTCAACCATGACTCGACTCTCTCTCCAACTGTCGACTCTGCCTGACCTAAAAATCTACAGACTAGAGCCGACCAGCTCAGACCTGGTCAGACTGAGAATCAGGGCTAAAATCGGGGTAAAATCGTTGTAGTGTAACCTCAGCCTTACCTGTTTGAAACCCCAGGTGGTACGAATATTCAAACCGTCTCTTGTAAAACTTACGTTAAAAGTGTGCAGGTAAAATAGCAAAACTAAATCACACTCCAAGAGATTTAAAACACAAACTAAATCACAGCACACATGATCAGTCCTCTCTCCGGCCATCTTGAAGGCATCTTTTAGGGCTTAGGCTCCTCCCCCCAACTACACCAGCCAGGGCTCTGATTGGTTAGAGGTCCTCCTCACATGACTGATTGCAGAGCAGGTATACCTGTGGAGGGAGAGACCGGGAGAGAGACACAAACACAAAAAAAAACCAAAATACGTGCTTACATGTAACAATGATATGATATAGAGTTTGTTAATAATCTGCCTGGTTACTTAGTTACTTGTTTGTCCAACTTCATAACAGTATTTATGAAACAGTATTTATGAATTTATGATTCTGGTGGTAAATGTGTTTCTCATATCAATGATTGTATTATTATTATTATTATTATTATTATTATTATTATTTTAGGAAAGTCTTGCCAGTTTCTGCTGCAGGGGCCTTGGCCACCAGGGGCCCCCCCCGCAATCTCCCACTGCTTATACGGCAATGCACCCCTCCCCCATGCTGGACCTTGCGGGTGGTGGGCCCACATGGTTCCCCCATGTTGCCTCTTCGGGCTGACCCCGGCCAGGTTACGTGGGCTGCCCGGCCACCAGGCGCTGGCCGGGGGACGCTACCGCCAGGCCTGGCTCCAGGGGTAGGTCCCGGTGACCCTCCCCCGGGCAGGGTACACGAGCTGGAGGAAGTTGCGGGGGACAGGGTCGTCTGGGATTCTCCGCTTTCCTAACTGCTACCGTGACCCCAGCTGGACTAAGCGGTTAACGACGATGATGATGATGAAAGTCTAGCTCTGGTTACAGTCCTGCTTATGATCCCTAAATCTTTAACTATAGCCTATGTTTCACCATGGTACAGCTAAACAAACAAAGAATTTGTTCCAGTGTGCATCCCAAAGCCTGGACATGAAGCACCTTGTCCTAACTTCCACTCATTGGCCAGTTTACTGGAAACACCCACCTTGTACTTCCATTCCATGGCCACTTTATTAGAAACACCCACTTTGTAATTCCATTCAATGGCTACTTCATTAGAAACACCTACGTCGTAATACCACTTACTGTTCAGTTTATTGGAAACACCTCACTCACTGGCCACTTTATTAGAAACACCTACCTTGTAATTCCACTCAGTGGCCAGTTTATTAGAAAAACACACCTTGTACTTCCACTCACTGGCCGGTTTATTGGAAACACCCACCTTATATGTCCATTCAATGGCCACCTCATTAGAAACACCTACGTCGTAATACCACTTACTGGTCAGTTTATTGGAAACACCTTCCTTGTACTTTCACTCACTGGCCACTTTATTAGAAACACCTTCCTTGTACTTCCATTCAATGGCCACTTTATTAGAAACACCCATCTTGTACTTCCACTCACTGGCCACTTTATTAGAAACATCTACCTCGTACTTCCACTCACTGGCCACTTTATTAGAAACATCTACCTTGTACTTCCACTCACTGGCCACTTTATTACAATCACCCACTTTGTAATTCCACTTAGTGGCCAGTTTATTAGAAACACCCACCTTATAGCACCACAGTATTACAGACTGTAGCCCATCTGTTGCCGCACAGTTTATCAGCCCCTCGCTACTCCATTCATCATCATCATCAAGTCTGCTGTCATATCTTCGTATTGTTTTAGTG